ATTTTTTTGACATTTATTTTTGTCAAATTAGTTTATATTTTGTCAAATTGACGACTTTGCTCTTGAAATTGAGTAATAATATCTTTAATTGTCCTTATTAAGAATAAAATTTAAGATCAAATGTATCATAATTAAAAAATTAAGAATCAAAATAATACAAGTCCTAAATTATAAGAATTGTCAGTATAATTCATCCCACATAAAATAGAATTGATCCTAGTCCAAACATAACTCGAGACTTATAAAGGTGTGGCCCAGTAACCAATAGTTGGTAGTAGTTTTAATAGATTTTATTAATGTGTGTTTTAAAAGTACATATTAATTGAAGAGTTTTTTAAGATTGTATATTTTGAATGAAAGAATAATAAAAAAATATATAATTTATCTCTTTTAACATATGCTTTAAAGAGTACATATTAAGAATGTCTATTTTTATTAAACTAATAAAAATTAACTCTAAGTTTGAATTTTATAATTTTATTTTTAAAATATGACTATTTGGAGGGTATATATTTAAGTTTTTTAGTCAATAATTTTTTATTACGGTCATTGTAAAAAGCTTGTTGGCCAGTTGAATTTGTTTTTACAGTGCAATGAAATAGTTAAATTATTTTAACCAATCTAATGGGATTTGTCCAATATCTTAATAAATTTACACAATATTAATTTACATAAATACAAAATTATAAAATAAGTAATGAAATTTAAATGTTTTAAATAATTTTATTTGAATAATTCAAAAATTTATTGTTTTTGAGTTATTTGAGATGACTTAAATAAGTGCACTCTTTGTCTTTTTACAAAAATATGTATAGAAAAGTAGAGAGATAATGTGATAAAAAAAGATAAAAAGATAAAAATATGAATTATTTTTGGGTTGCTAAACTTGACCTAAATGTTTCATATACCATTCTTGTACATTCCCCAGCCTCCACCTTTTCATCCATGTTAAATGAACAAGGTATGTACCCCTAAAATCATAAGCCAATTGGACTAAAAACACTAGTGATTGCTTGCTCACAAAGGCAAACATTGTTCCACCCCCACCCCCCTATAAATCCCCACTCTAAATTTCTCCAATCTCACACCATACACACACATTTGAGATTTAAGCCTCCAATTTTTTTTCTTCAAGCTTTTCATCAGTCATGTGGTCCATTGGAGCTAGTTTTGCCGATACCTACGTGCAGAGAAACCAGTATATGGAGAAAGTAAAGAGGTTGGAAGAGGAAAGAGCACGAAGCGTGGGAGAGCGTGGCGGTGTAATTATCGGCAGCTGTAAACATGGAAAGAGTAAGAAAATTCACCCGGCCGGTGGATTTCAGCCGTCGGATCCTGTGGGAAACAAAGGGGAGAAGATGGATTGCAAAGGGTAGTTTTCTGGTGACAATGGCAATGCATAACAGTTGCATGGCTCATGGCATGCCTGGATAAAGTTGTGTATTTTGAGGTTGTGTGCTATGTTTATGAGTGCTGTCAATGAGTGTTTGGATTTTGGTTGGAATGGAATATGATTTAGAAACAGTATTTTTATGTGTAAAATTTATATAAGAAATGTTATGAAGCACACCTCTCAAAATGTATATATTATATACACTCTATCATATGTTTGTTTTTTATTTTTTGGTAAACAAAAATAGGGGTGGCGTAGGCTTAGCCAAACCCCAGCCCCGGCATGGCTCCCACAGCGTTAGGACCAATGAGCAAGAACAGGGAAATGCAAGGGCACCACACTAAGAGGCAATGGAGACTGGAACACGGGTTGAAAGTATTTTAGTGCCAAACCCTATTCACTGAACCCACCCCAGGGGCTTATGTATTTTTATTATCTTTATTATTGTTATGCCCACTCCCTATCGACGGGATTTGAACAATAATTTAAACAAGCAATTGAACAAACCAATCAAGCGACTTTGTATTTAATTCAAATTATCTTAAAAGTACAAGAATTTCTTTACAACAAATTACAATCAACAAGAGAAATGAAATAAACAAAGTAAACAAAGATATCAAAATGAAACTATCAAAGTTCACTAAGTTACCAATATACAAGTTACTGACTAAACTACTCCTAAACTGAGAGGAAACTAGTCCTAAAGTCCTAAATACAAGCTAGGTGTTATTGTTTTGGTGATGATCCTCTGTTTGATCTCCCTTGGCCTATAAATAGGCTTAGTCCCACGGCTTATAAAACTGCCCAAGGCAGTTTTCTTCCACTCATGTACATTGCCACAAAAGGAGATGGAAGTTGAAGTTGATGTCACATACCCTATAAAATGCTACAAGCTGCCACATGTTCACAACTTCCTTTAACCACTTGGTGCTTTCCATGTCTACTGCGCATAATAATAATAATAATAATAATGATGATGTGGCCATAATAGTTCTTTAAAAATGATTTATAATTTAAATTTATAGACCACAATTAATGAGATCAAATTTAGCTATGATTTATAGGACACAATTGATAGGTCACAATCAATAAAATTATATTTGGCCAACAATTGATAGGTCATAATCAACAGAAAAATATTTATAGTGCAAACAATTATATATTTTTGTGATAAATGGTTTTGGTAGAGTTACAATAATTTTTTTTGTTCAAAAATGAAGTTATGTATTTTGTAATAATATTATACACGAGGTTAGGGATTGTTTGGGGTGTCCTAAATAAGTGCACTTTTTATCTTTTTTTGACTAAAAAGTTGAAAAAAATATGGTTGTTTATGTTAACTTTTTGACTTTTTATGAAAAAATGTGTATTAAAAAATTGTATAAATTAGTGTGTAGGAAAAAATTAGGATTGGGAGTTGTGCAGCCGTGATTTTTGACTTTTGATGAATAGTGATAACTTTTTAACTTTTTAAGTAACTTTTTAAATTTTTTTTAACTTGTCAAACTTGACATAATTCTAACTTTTTGGGCACCCAAAACAAGTTTCTAACCTAAGTTCTTTATACATGAAAAAAAAATCCCAAAATAAGTTTGTCATATGCACCATTTTGAACCACCTTGGCGTTACCTGCCTCAGAACTATAATGTAAAAACTGAAAAAATCATTGAAACACAAGAACAAAAGACTGGCTCACCCTTTGGGTGTATTTGTTTCGAAAGATTAGAGTGTGGGATTAGACTATTAGTTTTACCGAACTAATAGTCTATTGTTTGTTTCAATTTTTTTACTCCGGACTAATAGTCCCTCTGGACTATTAGTCTCATATTTGTGAGACTATCCTATCCCATGGGGAGATGAGATTATTTTCATGAGATTAATATCTCATGGGATTAAGCTCTGAAATGTCCATTTTATCCCTATGCTATTACTTAGCAAACAACTAGAAAAGGGCAAAATAGTCTTGTGAATATTTATAAATTATTTTTTTAGTGTTGTTAATTTAAAATTATATATTACATAAAAAATTTAAATTATAAATTATAAATTAAATTTAATTAAAAATAATAAATTAAAAATTATGGCCTTATAAATGAAATTTTTTTAGTGTTGTTAAAAAATTAAATTTGCATATTAAATAAAATTATTTTTTTAGTGTTGTTAATTTAAAATTATATATTAAATAAAAAATTTAAATTATAAATTATAAATTAAATTTAATTAAAAATAATAAATTAAAAATTATGGCCTTATAAATTAAATTTTTTTAGTGTTGTTAAAAAATTAAATTTGCATATTAAATAAAATTATTTTTTTAGTGTTGTTAATTTAAAATTATATATTAAATTATAAATTATTAATTTAATTTAATTGAAAATAATAAATTAAAAATTATGGCCTTATAAATTAAATTTTTTTAGTGTTGTTAGATTATAAATTATAAATTATAGATTACAAATTTAAAATTATATATTAAATAAAAATTATAAATTACAAGGATAAAATAGTTTTTGAACATTTATCTTTATCCAGTCCGTCTAACCAAACATTGGATTCACTAAAAATAGTCTAATCCAGACATCCAATCCATGACTAAACAAATATAGGATACAAATCCAATCCAACCATATAATCTGAAAACAATATATCCAAAACTAACAGTCTAATAAATTACAATCCCCCTTATCCAGTCCATCCAAACAACACACCATTCGTGGCTCAATACATAGCTGCAATACAGCTAGATAAGTTGATATAAGTACATAAATACTAGCCGGTTGCCCACACTTTTTTTTTTTTTGGTGAACTATGAAAAGCCAAAGGCTACACAGAGGCATCAACATACAATAGCTCCTTTAAAGGAGGGGGAGTAATTTTCACCCAATCTACAGAAAGCTTCCCACTGAGATAAGAAGAAGCCAACCAATGGGCCACCTATTAGCCTCTCTAGGAATCCAGGAAAAAGAGCATCTAAGACTGGACTTCAAAGAGTGAATATCGTGTAGCCATGCGAGACAATCCCAGGGGGGATCCAGCTTCGAGACACTGAGATCAATAACCCCCTTACAGTCGCTTTCAACTTGGACATTTGATAGACCAAGAGTTTGAAGAAGACGACAAGCCAAACGAATCGCACGAGCTTCACCTTGCAAAACCGAGGAAGAAAGGGCTGAGACAACAATGCCATCGACTACACGTGGGATATTTCATGAAATAACATATTAAAATAAAAATCAATGAAGAATTTATAAATAAGAAAATGCATCTCTATTGCATTTTTTTGTATTTGATTGTTGGACAATAATAGTTTCGTGATAAACCAAGTCACCTGTTTTATCATGAGTTATTTTATTTTTTTTCAATTTGCATAGTGAGATGAGTGATCTCAATCATCATCGGCGATTACTCTCATCACTTGTGATTTTCGTTGTCATTTCGATTATCGTTGATCACTATGGGGGTGTTTGATAACGTTTACATTTTTAGTTTATATTTATAAAAATTTTATAAATTGATTTTTGTTTATTTTTAGAAAAACATAAACTACAAACGTATTTGGTAATTGACAAAATATTTAAAAAAATTTAAAAATATAAAAAATAGAGCGGATTCGGAATTGTAACCTCCCCATTGTTCTATCTCCGATTCATAACTAGAGCATGCAGCCGATAATAGAGACAGATATATAGAAAGTGTGCAGTGAGTTTCTAGGTAGCTAGTCTTTACTTAACTCGGCCCAAGCAATGCCCAAAGACTCCCATGCCTTTCTTGGTTGGACAAACCGGCGATTTCCGACAAGTCTTTCTTAATTTTAAGAGATTGGGAGAGCAAGAACTAGTCTCCCCTTTTTTGGGGGGGGAGCAGAGCAGTCAAAGAATGAACCAAACCAAATGATTGTTCTAGAACGGCGATTCCTCACAATTGCTCGTTGTGATGCAGCAAAAAAGAGTTTGAGCGGTTATCAATATCAATCGAGGAGGGGGTTTGGACACATAAATTTCTATGGAGGAGATCTTCAATTTAAATTAATTTGGAAAGGCTTTAAAAAAGTAACTCAATTTTTATGTGGTGCAAAAACTGTTGGTGCTCACACTGGGAATGTGACACAAAATCAGATTTCTGCGAATTGTTGTAATTGTTGTAATTGGAATCTTGGTGCCATTTTTTCCTCTCATACATCCCATGAGACAGCGCACCAGGACAGTAACTTGCAGGAAGTGGTCTCTAACATTCCCGGTTCACCCGGGGAGTCGTTCCATAGCGCCGTTACCGACAGCCCTCGTGCATCCTTTGAACTAATGCCTATTGCTCGTTGTGATGCAGCAGAACCATGGCAATTAGGATCTCAAGACGCAGCAACACCTATGATGCAAGGAATAATAGACTTACATCACGATATCTTTTTCTTCCTCATTCTGATTTTGGTTTTCGTATCACGGATCTTGGTTCGCGCTTTATGGCATTTCCACTATAAAAAAAATCCAATCCCGCAAAGGATTGTTCATGGAACTACTATCGAGATTCTTCGGACCATATTTCCTAGTATCATCCCGATGTTCATTGCTATACCATCATTTGCTCTGTTATACTCAATGGATGAGGTAGTAGTAGATCCAGCCATTACTATCAAAGCTATTGGACATCAATGGTATCGGACTTATGAGTATTCGGACTATAACAGTTCCGATGAACAGTCACTCACTTTTGACAGTTATACGATTCCAGAAGATGATCCAGAATTGGGTCAATCACGTTTATTAGAAGTGGACAATAGAGTGGTTGTACCAGCCAAAACTCATCTACGTATTATTGTAACACCTGCTGATGTACCTCATAGTTGGGCTGTACCTTCCTCAGGTGTCAAATGTGATGCTGTACCTGGTCGTTTAAATCAGACCCCAAACAGCACCTATATATATCTTTGTTCCAATGCTATTGTTAATTGCCTCCATCATTGACTTTGACATTAATAAGGTTATTTTACATTATAAGACACTATTAATAAACAGAAACTTTATAACAACCATCAAAAGCATTGTACATGTATAACATTACAAGCCACAATTACCATCTTATCAACATTATCAATCTCTTTAAATATTAATATCAATTGCATTTATCAAAATTTTATTTATTTAGGTTTTTTTTTTTTTTGGCAATTTCTAAGATAGAATGATGACGTGAAAATTGCCCCATCGTTGACTCATGATTTTCATTATCAATTTGAATCATAATTGTGGGGGCATATTTTTGTGAATGACAACACGTGATCAAGGTGGCACCGAAGTGTCAGCCAAGGTTCCATATGTCTTGGTTATGGCGCCAAGGTTATCTCGGCTAGGCCGAGGTTATCTGCGGAGATACCGAAATCCGAGATGAACGGATAAGGGACAAGAGTCCTAGTATAGAAGAGGACCTCAATCTGGATAAAGATAAGGCTCTTAAGGAGTTTATCTCTATTTGGCTGGGGGTCCAGGATAGGCATTGCCTAAGTCCAAGTGAAGCTAGGCTTCCACAAGGGTTAGGTTAGTGCTGGCTATAAAAGTAAGGCACTCTCGTGAGTCTAAGGTACACTTTTGTATTCTAGCTAGTGGGTTAAACACTAATTACTATCTTTGAGAGATAACTGAGTATTGACTTGATCGTCGGAGTGCCCCCGGGTGGACGAACCACCGCCGGAGTCTTATCTTTCTGTGACAGGTTGTTCGGGCAGGATCTATTCTGACGGTGCTCTCCAGCTGGGTACCTGTTTGGCAGTGTGGTCAGAAATCCACACACACAATTTGGCACCGTCTGTGGGAAACGTAAGAAGAATAGATGGCCAACAACGGGTAAAAAGAAAGAATTGAGGGTGACATCCCTAGTGGGAATGGTAAAAACGCTGATCCTAACGTAGAGGATGACAACTGCAACGAGGAACCTTGGGATAAGAATCCCGGAGAAAAAGACACCGGCCAAGAGGGAGACATGCTGAAGAAATCATGTCAGGGCGGGTATTACAACGAAAGCGACCTCCAGGTATGGAAAGATAGATGCCTAAGGAGGGACGACGAGATAAAAGGGATGGCAAACAAATTGGCAGACTTACAATCGGTTGTCAATTTCATGATAGAGAACAACGTAATGCAGCCACCATTCCCATTGGAGGACATGCCGATTCCTGCAGCCAAGAATGATGCCCAGAAACAGGGACGAAAAGCAATCCCCACAGTCCCTCAGCATGACAGGGGAAAGGAGCATTCACATCGGCCTTCATGGGAGGTCGGGCGAGAAGAATCGATGAGAGGAGAGTCTCAGAAGACACATCGTGCCAAAGAAGACTACACCAAAAAACATCGGCATGTTCAAGGGAAGGAGCTTTGTTTCGACACAACTAATGGATGGAGGTCAAAGAGGACTCATAACAACACCGGGAGTAGCGTACCAAAAAGGCTGAAATCCATTAACAATCGAGCTCCTGGACGGACCAAGGAAGATTTGAGGGATTACCTCTAAAGGAAGCGACAAGATGCCGAGGTAATATCTCCGGTCAAGCCGAGAACACCGTTTTCGGTAGAATTTGACAAGTATGAGGCCCTGAAAAGGTTCCACATGCTGAGATTCCAAATATACGACGGTAAGTCTAATCCCAACTTCCATGTCGGCTTATACTTGAACTCAATGGCACTGTACACCGGGAACAAGCCGTTGCTCTGCAAGGTGTTTCCCTCATCCTTTGGGAAAATCGCATCAAATTGGTTTCACAAGTTGCTGAAAGGAACTATGAAATACTGGGAAGGCCTGGCCGAAATGTTTGTGGCTAGGTTTGTTACAAACAAACTGCAGCTGTTGAAGGTAAATTCCCTGATGGCTTTGAGAATTGGTGAGGATAAAAGCCTCAGGGCTTATGTCAAGAGGTATTATGAGGTGTTTAACTAAATACCAGGATGCAACCAAGAGGTGGCGGTCGTGTCTTTTAAAAACGGCCTAAACAATGACTGTCTATTTTGAAAATCATTGGCAAAAACACTACCAAAAAGTATAGGGAAACCCATGGCCAGAATCGAAAAATATGCGAGAGCAGAGGAAAACACGCCAGGGACAAATGCGTCAAAGCAAGAGAAGAGGAAGGGCTTGCCGAAGCGAGGCTGAGGTAATACAAACTTTAACAGACAAGAAATGGGACTGAGGGTTGCACAGGCAGTCACCACAGTGTTCCGGATCCCGGTTTACGAAGTCTTGGAAAGAATCAGGAATCAGCCTTACTATAAAACACCGGAGAAAATTCCTGGCAAATTTATCGGAAGAAGTCTGGGGAAGCGTTGTGCTTACCACAATAAGGATGGGTATCTGACTCAGGGGTGCAGAGCCCTAAAGGCACATCTAGAAGATCTGGTAGTAGATGAGGCCAAGACAAGGGAAGAGCAAGCAAGGCTGCCCCAGGCACCAGCAGCACCACCTCCACCAGCACCACAACCACAAGTAGACGAACCTCGAGTGATCAATGTGATTCACTCGAAGGTCAATGAGAATGAGGTACATGGGGAGACTCAGAGGGTGAAACACTTACAGCATGTGTGTCAGGTCCAGCAAAAAAGGCCTAGGGCAAACGAGTGCCAAGGACCAATGGTGTCCTTTACTGAAGCCAACCTAGACATGGTGCAGCATCCACACAACGATGCTGTGGTAATATCCCTCAAGGTTGGAGAGTGCCAAGTAAAGCACATTCTGGTTGACCAAGGCAGCTCTTGTCACATCATATGTTACAAGAAGCTCTGCCTTCACCAAGATGATCTAGAGCAGTCCAACAGTCCAATGGTCGGGCTTAATGAAACGCCGACGTGGCCTCTAGGAGCAATAAGTTTGGAGGTACAGGCAAGAACCAAGAAGATAAGCACAGAGTTCACAATAATTGAGGATCAGGTACAGGCAAAGAATTGTTCCATGGTAGCAATGAAATCCACCTGCAACATACAAGAAGCAAACACAGTCGAGATTGAAGACAAAGACATGGAGCTCCTGGATAACGTCGGCAAAGAACTAACCAAGAAGAGTGAGGAAGCCCTGAAGAAAATTCTAGTCCAACAAGGGAACGAAGAGCGTTTCTTCTTTCTCGGCTCAGGATTGGCCGATGAGGAGGAAAGGGAGTTAAAAGCCTTCTTGCGAGCAAACATTGAGGTATTTGCCTAGACACCATACGAGATGTCTGGCATTGACCCTGAGGTCACTTGCCATAGACTGCATGTGGACAGGTCGGCTAAACCTGTCATCCAATGAGCAAGGAGGCCAACATTGGTGCATTTCGAAGCAGTAGAAGAGGATGTGGGAAAACTACTGGAGGACAATGCCATTCGAGAGGTAAACTACCCAACTTGGTTATCAAACACAGTTGTTGTGAAAAAGAAGAATGGAAAGTGGAGGGTCTGCGTGGACTTCACTAGCCTAAATAAGGCTTGTCCCAAAGACAGTTTCCCACTCCCCAAAATCGATCAACTGGTGAATGCCACTTCAGAACATGGAAGGATGAGCTTCCTAGACGCTTATAGGGGGTACCATCAGATATCAATGTACCCCCTGATGAAAAGAAGACTACATTCATCACCCCAAAAGGGTTGTATTCCTACAGAGTGATGCCTTTCGAGTTGAAAAATGTATGAGCAACCTACCAGAGGTTGGTGACCAAGATGTCCAGACATCTAATTGGAAAAACAGTGAAAGTATACATCGATGACATGGTTGTGAAGACCAAGGAACTTGAGGATCACCTGGCCGACTTGAAGGCAATCTTCAACATCTTGAAAACATATCGGCTCCGACTCAATGCTTCAAAATACGCATTTGAAGTTGGGTCTGGTAAATTCTTAGGATACTTGGTTACCAAAAAGGGCATTGAGGCAAGCCCAGATCAAATCAAGGCCATCCTGGACTTGAAAAGCCCAACGTTGGCAAAACAAGTGCAGATGTTGACTGGAAGGGTTGCAGTCCTAAATAGGTTTATAAGCAGAAGTTCTGGCAAATGTAAACCATTTTTTAGTTTAGTAAAGAAGGCCACAGATTTTTTGTGGACAGAGGAGTGCGAAGTCGCCTTGGCCGACTTAAAAAAATACCTGATCACAGCTCCAGCTCTCTCAAATCCAGTACCTGGAGAGGAGTTGTTCTTATACTTGGCGGTTTTAGTGCATGTAGTGAGTGTAATGGTAATCAAAGAAGAGAAGGGAGAACAGAGGGCAGTTTACTATGTGAGTAAAACCCTAGCAAGCACAGATACCAGGTATTTACCCTAGGAGAAATTGACACTGGCCTTGATAATGGCCTCCAAGAAGTTGAACCACTATTTCCAAGCCCACAAGATTGTGGTATTGACTGAACACCCCTTGAAATCCCTACTACAGCAAGGAGATCTGACAGGCAAGGTGGCCAGATGGGCAGTGGTATTGGGCTAATACGATTTAGAGTTCAGACCCAGAACAGCAATCAAATGCCAAGCTCTGGCCGAGTTCACACCTGGTGCCACACCACATCGGGCTCCGGAGAGCCGCGGTTTAGGGTATCCAGGTGAACAAGAAAAAACCCAGCTGAGGATGAAAAACCCCACAGCAGAATAGAAGAATGGAGAGAAACTCAGGTCCTGCGATATTTACATCGGCGACTCTTTCCGCTTGTTTGTTTATGGGAGTTCAAATCGTTAGGGAGCAAGGGTAGGAGTAGTGCTAGTATTGCTAGATGGGCGAATGGTGGAACAATCTATTCGTTTGGGGTTTAAGGTCTCAAACAACGAAGCAGAATATAAAGCACTGATCGTAGGATTGAAGTTGGCAGCAGCAATAGAAGCCGACGAGGTGGTGGTCTTCTGTGACTCCTAACTTATTGTCAACCAGGCAACAGGCGAATACGCTACTCAAGATGAAAGAATGATGGCCTATGTAAAGAGGTTGTCAGACTGGTAGCCTTATTTCAGGATTTTCGACTGCAGCAAGTT